CTTACGACTACTTTTGGGTAGGCAGTAGGTCTGTTCTCCCCCCCCCCCCACCTCCCATAACAGGGACCCAGAACCCACACGGGGATATATGTATATAACATAAATTATATAGGCCTATATGTTTATAAAGCAATTGAAATTCTTTTTTCTCCTCCTCCGCCTTCTTCTTAGCGTTCACCGGCTGTAAACGTTGGAGGAGAGTTCTTGTTGTTCGTCCACTTCTTGACTTTGGTCTTGATCTAGAACTTGGAAGTTTTGCGTTTACGTCCGGTTTACAGATCTAACTCAGCTATGTGCAGACTGCTGGTCCCTCGTCTTAAAGGTAGATTGACTTCGAAGGGTAAAAACTTCTAATTAGTGGCCGCCTAAGCAGTGGCGTATCAAGGGCATGTGGTACCTCGTGAGGACAATTTCCTGTCCTACATCACATGCACACACACACACCCCGTGCGACCCGCACCACCTGTACTTCCTTTGCTACACTTCTGCTCACATAACATGTTTCGGGGGCATTGGGTCTGTTCTTGTCTCCACAAAGAGGGTTCCTTGAACCCAGATGGGGGGAAATGACCCTGACACGTGATGTGGTCAACACCACACGGGCCCTATTTACTTCCCAGTAATTTTCTGGTAAAGGTTCAAACTGACGCCAGGAGTCATCGTGGTGTATTGGCTTGACCAATGCCTTCTCCGGTTATGTTTGTCTCCCCAGGGAAAGTAGGTCACGTTCCATTGTTAAGTTTGTTGGAATAGTCTATTATGGTCGAGGTATGGGTGTGGCGGTCTGTTATTGTCTTGCATTTACGTTTTTATTCCAAGAAAGAGACTGCCTGTGACATAGGTTTCATCACTCTCTAAAGGGGTTTTGTGTTAGACCCAGTTGTCGATGTTTTTGGAGTGTTAAAACCTCTGGCATGGTGAAATATACAACACGAGATGTGATCAGCACTGCGGAACACTCCTGTGAAAGTAACCCAAGGACGTGTGGCTCAAGGTCGACTAATGAGGAGTTAGCTAGTGTGTAAATGGTTGGTATATTGCAAGACCTTTGTAACTATTACCCTTTCTCCAAATAAGCCATGAGGTTTAGGTCATCAGTTTGTCATCATTAGCGTGACATCACTGCTCCCCACCCCCCACCCCCCCCTCATGACAATTTAAATAAAATTTGTAGACAGTAAATGTTAGAGGTTTACTGGCAATTTATGTTAACCTTTGTTGGCTGTGCAATGACAATTTATGTTAAAATCTGTTGGCTGTGTATGAGAGATGCAATGACAATTTATGTTAAAATCTGCTGGCTGTGTATGAGAGATGCAATGACAATTTATGTTAAAATCTGTTGGCAGTGTTTGAGATACTTATAGGCAGTTTATGTTAAAATCTGTTAGCAATAAATGTTAGAGATTTATTGGCAATTTATATAAAAATGTGTTGGCGGTTTATGATGGGGATTTACTGACAGTTTATGTTAAAATCTGTTGGCAGTTTACATTAGAGATTTACAGTCAATTTATGATAAAATGAGTTAGAAGTGTATGTAAGAAATAATTATATGTTAATAGTTTCTTGAAGAAATACTGTAGCAGATACTTTATGAAAGATATTAGCAGTTCTCATTATAACTATATTAACATTTTCTCGTACTCTTAGCGATTCATTAACATCCTTCTAGAAATATGTTAATGGTTACTATTAGAAATTTTCTTATAGTTCCTCTTTGAAATATGTAAATAACTCCTCTTAGAAATATGTTAACCTACTTTGTGAGGCATCGTGAAACTAAGAGACACAAAGTTTATAAAGTGTAGTATTGTTCTCCTCTGTCCTTAGAGTCGAGATGCTTCTCCATGAAAATACAACACATTGAAGATAAATCTAAAGCGAATCACCCAAATAACTTATTATATGCTCTACTCCAGATTTATCTACCTTTTTATCTGAATCATTAATATCAGACACACGAAAATGCTTCATACATACTAGACTGGTTTTCCCAGAAGTCACATTTTTCCGTGGAATTTTATTTAGCTATCTTGATCTTAAAAGAGAATCTGAAGGAAATTTAAACACATTCACATGAAGGACCATTATTCAAGCGACACTCCGGTTTAGAACATTTCACAGGCATAGTTAATAATACTTAACACTTTAAAACAGTCTATTTCAGAAATGTAAATAAAACAGTGTATATATAGATGTAAAATCCATAGTACCACTTTCAGGTAATTCTAAAATAACACACTTTATTCGCTATGGCTTAACCTATGGTGTACAGCTGAGCAAAAGTACGTCTAGGCCTTACTGGAGAGAGCTGTGGCCTGACGCTCACATGCGGATTAGAGTCATGCATTCAGGTTCTGGCGGTACCAGATTTTTTTTTTTTTTTTTCAAAATGGCAATGGCTCCCGCGTTGACTCAGCTTTGAATTGGTACCATGTGGAGTCCAGGGAAGTCAATGTGGCTGGCATGATGCTGACCACATCACCCACTAAGTGCCAATTTGTCTATAAAATAAATCTAGCCCTATATGCCCGATGGTGTGGAAAGAGTCCTTTACTTTTACTTTACTTACAAATTAAAGCCAATGACTGTTTTTTTTTTCTTTTAAATCCATGTTTAAAAAATTTCTAATAGCGGACTTTCTGGCCAGCTGGCAAAATGTTTTGCCATAAAGTGTAGTTTGGGTATTTTGGGGGGAAACTGTCTGCACCAATCTAATTCTGATTACCATAAGTCCATTTTCAGGACCCATACAGTGTGAGCAGTATAATATTCAGGAGCAAAAACTCAGCTTTCAGATTCACAGGCAACCAACGAACCAACTAAGACTCTGGGTAACACTCCAGCATGATTCTTCTTCTTCAACATTTAAGATTCCTTGCTGCAGAAATCATGCACCTCCAGTAGTCTCTTTGAGTGGCTTTTTCTTTCCAGTTGATGAAGCCAAGTGTTTGCACTCTGCCTGAATTCTCAGTGACATCAAATGTTTGTACTCCGTCTGAATTCATTGTGAAGCCAAGAGTTTGCATTCAGTCTGAATTCTTGGTGACACCAAGTGTTTGCACCCCGTCCAAATTCTTAGGGACACTAAGTGTTTGATCTCAGTCTGAATTCTTGTTGACACCAAGTGTTTGCACTCTATCCGAATTTGAGGTGAAATTATGTTTTATAAAGGTGCGCGTGTCAGCCATACACTTCAATTTCCAACTTCTATCTATTCATTGTCTTTCTCTGTTTAATGCTGTTATGCATCGCAGGCACGGCTAATGTTAAGTTTGTGGAATTGGGCGTGTTCGTTAGCTTCCTGCATGGAGGATATTGTTGAGTTTCAGCAAATTTTTAACTCCATCTATCCATTAACTCCATTCTTAGCCTTCCTCTGCATCTTGATGTTTCCATTCTCATGTTGAAACCTCCAACTTTGAGGATCAGCCATCAGCACTGATGGGAGAGCGTGTACAGTTCGGAGGAGCAGATGGATCGCCATAGTCTGGTGAGACTGATGCAGCGGGGAGTGACGAGAGGTTCTGGCAGATACTCGAGCCTTGGAGGAAAGGCAAGATGGACGTTTAATCAGAATGCTGCTGGCACCATTTGTATCGGAACTCTTCACTGGCTGCTGAAGATGAGGGTGTTGCGCTTATGGAAATGCCCCAAGTGATGTGATGTCGGCTCTTGAATCAACTCAACTCAACTCAACAGTCGACTGACTGACTGACTTTCTACTTCACCAGAACATCACACAAGCCATAAACACCCGATGACACAAAGTGCCACCATGTGGATGAGGATCACCGTGGAGAGGTCCCAGAAACCGCGTTCAGACATTTGGCCATATTTATGGCCTGCCTATATTGCGGCCCCTGGCAAAAGCCAGGGTGGGGCTTCAAATAAAAAAGTTTTGTCCTAAAAAGGACAAAACTGGATTATGTATATATAGTTACAACTCAACAGTACAATAAAACTGGGCAACATGTGCTGAGTTTTTTTAATAAAAGTAGTAGCTAAATAAATTTCATGGCATGGTCAACAGCAATATTTACATCATGTAAAAATTAAACCAACAAGAAACCTTGAAAAGAAGGAGAAATCTAAATCTACTAAGGTTACCCATGTGGGTTTCAGGGCCCTATTCTGAGGGGAATAAAGAATAGACCCACTGCCCCCGCCTCCCACACCTATAAGGATGTTGTTAAAGTGGCTAAATAGTGGCTTTTTCTCTGAAGGCAGAGTGCATCTGTCCGAGAGGCAAGGAACTAACAGTCTGCAAATAAGCCAGATCTGTAAAAATGGATGTGCATGCAAAACTCAAATTCTGGAAAAAGACTGAAGTCTGGAGGTAAACAAACAGCCATAACTTTCTGCCGGAATTTGTAGCCAATTAACACTAAGAAGAAGAAGATAAGTTAGAATCAACGCACAGTTATGCAACGACTGGCCTATGAAGTGTCAGGTGTTCACATGTTTAGTTGAGTGGTTATACCCTTCCTGATCATCTTACCTCCTAAACAAATGCTAGAATTGTTTTCTAAATTATCTGGAGCCCATTATTTGAAATTAGATTGACACCCTAAATGTTCTGGTTGAAAAAGGTTCCGTCGCCCAGCTCCTGAGTAGAATGTTTTCTTCTGCTGTGCCCATAGCATGTTATTGATTGCATTAAAATGGCAGGTTCAGAATGGTGTGTACTTCTACTTCCAAATATGGGGAGATTAAGAAGTAACTGGTTATGTTATGGTCTAGGTTACTAACAGACAGACAAAAACACATATTTAAAGTCATAAAAAGCAATAAGGACATGAAAGAAGAGTAAATTTATGGATGAATAAATGTGTTGAATTGAACGCACCACATGCAAGCACACGAGCATGTTAACACTCTCAAAAAAAGTGGATAAAAAGATTATAAACAGTGATATCAAAGCATAAGATCTATACATAAAGCCAGAAGCTGACACTTGACATGTTGCCACATGTGGCTAGCCAGGCAGACCTTGATCACACACACCCGATCATTTTCAGGATTTCTGCAGCAACACTGGATAGACCTATATCTGCATGGGAGCTGGAAAATAAATGATAACAATTCACTTCTTAGCCTCTTGACTCTTAAATTCATACTGAAAATTTCACCTCCCCGACAACATTCCTAAAAATGGGACCTGGAACCTGCACGAGTTTCAAACTGGGGCCTGGAACCCACACGAGTTTCAAACTGGGGCCTGGAACCCACACAAGTTTCAAACTGGGGCCTGGAACCCACACAAGTTTCAAACTGGGGCCTGGAACCCACACAAGTTTCAAACTGGGGCCTGGAACCCACACAAGTTTCAAACTGGGGCCTGGAACCCACACAAGTTTCAAACTGGGGCCTGGAACCCACACAAGTTTCAAACTGGGGCCTGGAACCCACACAAGTTTTAAACTGGGGCCTGGAACCCACACAAGTTTAAAACTGGGGCCTGGAACCCATATGAGTTTCAAACTTGGGCCTGGAACCCACACAAGTTTCAAACTGAGGCCGGGAACCCACCAAAGGTTTAAACTGGGGCCTGGAACCCACACAAGTTTCAAACTGGGGCCTGGAACCCATATGAGTTTCAAACTTGGGCCTGGAACCCACATAAGTTTCAAACTGGGGCCTGGAACCCACGTGAGTTTCAAACTGGGGCCTGGAACCCACACAAGTTTCAAACTGGGGCCTGGAACTCACTCAAGTTTCAAACTGGGGCCTGGAACCCACACAGGTTTCAAACTGGGGCCTGGAACCCATATGAGTTTCAAACTGGGGCCTGGAACCCACACAAGTTTTAAACTGGGGCATGGAACCCACATGAGTTTCAAACTGGGACATGGAACCCACACGAGTTTCAAACTGGGGCCTGGAACCCACATGAGTTTCAAACTGGGACATGGAAACCACACAAGTTTCAAACTGGGGCCTGGAACCCACGTGAGTTTCAAACTGGGACATGGAACCCACATGAGTTTAAACTGGGGCCTGGAACCCATGTGAGTTTCAAACTGTGGCCTGGAACCCACACAAGTTTCAAACTGGGGCCTGGAACTCACTCAAGTTTCAAACTGGGGCCTGGAACCCACACAGGTCTCAAACTGGGGCCTGGAACCCACACAAGTTTCAAACTGAGGCCAGGAACCCACCAAAGGTTTAAACTGGGGCCTGGAACCCACACAAGTTTCAAACTGGGGCCTGGAACCCATATGAGTTTCAAACTTGGGCCTGGAACCCACATAAGTTTCAAACTGGGGCCTGGAACCCACGTGGGTTTCAAACTCGGGCCTGGAACCCACACAAGTTTCAAACTGGGGCCTGGAACTCACTCAAGTTTCAAACTGGGGCCTTGAACCCACACAGGTTTCAAACTGGGGCCTGGAACCCATATGAGTTTCAAACTGGGGCCTGGAACCCACACGTTTTAAACTGGGGCCTGGAACCCACATGAGTTTCAAACTGGGGCATGGAACCCACACGAGTTTCAAACTGGGGCCTGGAACCCACATGAGTTTCAAACTGGGACATGGAAACCACACAAGTTTCAAACTGGGGCCTGAAACCCACGTGAGTTTCAAACTAGGACATGGAACCCACATGAGTTTAAACTGGGGCCTGGAACCCATGTGAGTTTCAAACTGGGGCCTGGAACTCACTCAAGTTTCAAACTGGGGCCTGGAACCCACACAGGTCTCAAACTGGGGCCTGGAACCCATATGAGTTTCAAACTGGGGCCTGGAACCCACACAAGTTTTGAACTGGGGCATGGAACCCACATGAGTTTCAAACTGGGGCATGGAACCCACACGAGTTTCAAACTGGGGCCTGGAACCCACATGAGTTTCAAACTGGGACATGGAAACCACACAAGTTTCAAACTGGGGCCTGGAACCCACATGAGTTTCAAACTGGGACATGGAACCCACATGAGTTTAAACTGGGGCCTGGAACCCACGTGAGTTTCAAATTGGGGCTTAGATCCCACACAAGTTTCAAACAGCATGTGCAGTAATCCCACTGTAAAATTTGGCCAAGATTTTACATCTTTATCAACAAATTCTTGATACCGAGTTCAGCCTCCTAAGAAGTTATTATCAGGACAAATTTAATGTTTACACATTTGAACAGGCACCTTTAAAACTTTAAAAATCTATCATAACTTGCTGACAGGATACCTGAACATATTTGTTCCTGTGATTAACAAAACCCACAGCACTTATGTCATGAAATGTTTTTATGAAACATAATGGAGCCCAACCACGCCACATGATGACTGTAACTCTCTCAGCTGCTATTTTTAGTAAATATGATCAAACCAGGTCATTCTAGACACTGCACAGTTGCAAACTGGACCAAAAGTGATAAATGTATCATCCAGGGACTGATCAATGCAGTGAAACCAATACAGCAGTTTATCTGGGATTTGAAACAGATTGTAACACACAGCATAACTGATTTCTTTGGTCTCTCTGATCAACTGGGTTAATGATAAACTTCTGACTCATTCACAATCATTGTTGACCTTCTTTTTTCAGGAAGGCTATCCCAAGCAATAAATGCCTGAGAAAGTCAGATGTGTTGGCTGAAAAGCTCAGATATTGCAGCCATACTGTAAACGGGCACAACATACTTATGTCCTCAGATGAACGCAAATGAATACTACCTGTCTCATCTACCTACATAAAAAAGTCTCTCCTGCACAGTGAACTGGACACAGGAGAAGATCTGCAGGAAAGTAGGAAGGTCAAGTCTTACCAAAAGGACAGATGCCAAAGTGACCTGAAAACTTAAAGAAACCAACACTGACACAGATACTTAGGACAGATCAGCTGCAGACCGACTCCTATAGTGGCAAAGAGGGAAATACCGAAATTATAAAATTTCGTAAACATGCTCATCAGGAAAAAAAACAATGTTGCAAAAAGCCAGACACAGAAAGCTATACAGAGTAGATGTCTGAAAGAAAACTAGCTTGAGTTCAATACAGTATCAATGTTTTTATGTAACCTTTATTACAGAGACAACAACTTAATGACTGATTTCCCTGTGTGGTTCTGGGGTCCCATTGTGGGAGAGGGGGGAGAAGAGACCCAATAAACACCCCCCCCCCCCCCCCCAGCTTGTAAAAAAAAAAGTCAACTGACTAAACAGGCGCACTTGCTTCAAAGTCAGAGTGCATCCACCCGAGAGGCAAGGATACGAACAAATAAGCCAGACCTGAAGAACAATTGTGTAGGCAAAACTCAAGTTCTAGAACAAGACTAAAGGCCAAAAGTGGACAAGCAACCAGTACTTTCCACCAGAATGCAAAGAAGAAGAATGATTGACTGATAATATGAAACATACCTGGCTGTATTTGCCAAGGACTTAATTGTTTCAGCTAGTTCATCACCTGATTTCTTCAAACAGCTTAAATGGCGGGAGTCTGTGTTCAGCTGCAATATAACATTTAATCTTTGTAATTGGGTTACAATGTGTTTTATGTTTAATAAAAGTCAATCGTGTTATTGGGCACATGGATAACATCAGGTGGAATTAGCATTATTGAGCTAAAAAACAGAATAGGACAGGCAAAAACTGCATTTTATATAATGAAGAACATCTTATGCAGTATATCTATGTCATTGAGAGTTAGAAAAAAAAATTCTTGCTTGCTACATACATCCAGTTTTAACATGTGGCTGCGAGTGCTGGACAATAGGTAGGCAGGCCAAACAATTTGAGGCCTCAGAGATGTGGTTTTACAGAAGAATGCTTAAAATACATAGGAAAGCCAAAAAAGAGCAACCAAGAGGTTGTGAAAGAGGTGGGAGACAGAGAACAACTTATCACAGATGTCCATAGGAGACAGTCATCATTTTTCAGTCATGTTATGAGAAGAGGGAAAACATATTGTGACCACTGGAAAGGTCTGTGGAAGGAGGGATAGAGGAAGACAATGAGAGAAGATTCTGACAGTCTTGTTGCATGGAATAAAGGTGTGTCAGCACATGAACTGATACATGCTGCTGGAGATCGCGGATTATGGAGAGGCATGATGGCCCATGCCAGACAGCAAGGCACCTGATGATCAAGAATTGAGTTATAACATTTCGTCAACACACTCACATGGGAACTCAATAAATCTGGGTTAAAAGATTTTTTTTTAAATTGTTGATTAAAAGTTTATTTTTAAAGTTAAAGCCAAGAGAATCAATTTTGCTGCCTCAGTTTATCCTATATGGCTTGGTCTCTCTCTGCAAAATGGCTAACCAACTGCCAAGAGTGATACAAAAAGCATGAACTCCATAGCTTCAGTAATCCCCTGGGATGTCCCTAATAATTGCACTCATGAATTGAATGATACATCTGCAAAATAAACACATAACCTTCAGAACACAAGGCAAATAGCTAGACCACTTTATCACAGAGACCACCAATGAAATATGTATGCCAACCACTTCATGAAAATTACAGAAATTAAGAAATTGAATAAAGAAAAATATGCAAGATGTGGTCACATTTGAATGTCCATCTTTACTTGCTAATGGAGGCTGTCTCGTTATAAAATTCCTTAAATTCTTAGTGACTGTTTAAAGAGAATGAGATCAGAATAGGCAAAAAGTTGAAGGAAGATTCCTACAGTACAATAGATCAAGAAAAAGAAAAACTACTGAAATTCTACAGGATCTGAACAATGACAGGGACTGGCTCATAAACAGTATCATTTTTTAGAAACCAGAATACTCAGGTAAAAAAACAGCATAGATTTGTGGAGAAAACAATAATGGAAAGTATTTTTTTAGAGTAGAGGTCGCGGGTGACCATCCTGACGGCAGCAAATTCAGTATGCAAAGGACACTTGGCATAAAAGTTTATGATGCAATAAAGTGGCTTTCGGGCAACATTCTGCAAAGAACCATGATGAAAAAGAACTTTTGAATCCCAGTAATGAAGTGATGTTATTTGCTCTCACATTTGATCAGAGAATGCACAAGACATCTGGCTTCCCTCCTGCACCTTACACTGCAAATATAGCCTCTTTAAGTGATACACAGGGTCATTTAGAGAGAATGGAAGATAACATAGCCAAAAAAACTGAGTACGGAAAAGATGTGCAGGAGTTGACCAGGGGTAGACAAATATTGAGTAAACAAAATATGGGTGGGAGTAGACCAAGAGGCAGATAAATATAGAGCACACAAAAGACATGAGTAGGAGTAGACCAAAAGATAGACAGATATTGAGCACACAAAATTTATAAGTGGGATAGGACCAAGAGACAGACAAATATTGAGCACACAAAATTTATAAGTGGGAGTAGACCAAGAGACAGACAAATATTGAGTACACAAAAGATATGAGAGGGAGTACACTAAGAGAATGACAGATATTGTGTACACAAAATTTATGAGTGGGAGTAGACAAAGAGACAGACAAATATTGAGCACACAAAAGATATGTGTGGAAGCAGATCAAGAGACAGACAGATATTGAGCATACAATAGATTTGTGTGGGAGTAGATCAAGAGACAGACAAATATTGAGCACACAAAAGATATGAGTGGGAGCAGATCAAGAGACAGATATTGAGCATACAAAATATATGAGTGGGAGTAGATCAAGAGACAGATATTGAGCATACAAAATATATGAGTGGGAGTAGATCAAGAGGCAGACAAATATTGAGCATACAAAATATATGAGTGGGAGTAGACCAAGAGACAGATATTGAGCACACAAAAGATATGATTGGGAATAGTCCAAGAGACAGACAAATATTGAGCATACAAAAGATATGAGTGGGAGTAGATCAAGAAACAGACAAATATTGAGCACACAAAAGATATGAGTGGGAGTAGTCCAAGAGACAGACAAATATTGAGCACACAAAAGATATGAGTGGGAGTAGTCCAAGAGACAGACAAATATTGAGCATACAAAAGATATGAGTGGGAGTAGTCCAAGAGACAGACAAATATTGAGCATACAAAAGATATGAGTGGGAGTAGTCCAAGAGGCAGACAAATATTGAGCATACAAAAGATATGTGTGGGAGTAGTCCAAGAGACAGACAAATATTGAGCATACAAAAGATATGAGTGGGAGTAGACCAAGAGACAGATATTGAGCACACAAAAGATATGAGTGGGAATAGTCCAAGAAACAGACAAATATTGAGTACACAAAAGATATGTGTGGGAGTAGTCCAAAAGACAGACAAATATTGAGCATACAAAAGATATGTGTGGGAGTAGTCCAAGAGACAGACAGATATTGAGCTTACAAAAGATATGAGTGGGAGTAGTCCAAGAGACAGACAGATATTGAGCATACAAAAGATAGTGGGAGTAGTCCAAGAGACAGACAAATATTGAGCATACAAAAGATAGTGGGAGTAGTCCAAGAGACAGACAGATATTGAGCTTACAAAAGATATGAGTGGGAGTAGTCCAAGAGACAGACAGATATTGAGCTTACAAAAGATATGAGTGGGAGTAGTCCAAGAGACAGACAGATATTGAGCATACAAAAGATAGTGGGAGTAGTCCAAGAGACAGACAGATATTGAGCTTACAAAAGATATGTGTGGGAGTAGTCCAAGAGACAGACAGATATTGAGCATACAAAAGATAGTGGGAGTAGTCCAAGAGACAGACAGATATTGAGCTTACAAAAGATATGTGTGGGAGTAGTCCAAGAGACAGACAGATATTGAGCTTACAAAAGATATGAGTGGGAGTAGTCCAAGAGACAGACAGATATTGAGCTTACAAAAGATATGAGTGGGAGTAGTCCAAGAGACAGACAGATATTGAGCTTACAAAAGATATGTGTGGGAGTAGTCCAAGAGACAGACAGATATTGAGCATGCAAAAGATAGTGGGAGTAGTCCAAGAGACAGACAAATATTCAGCACAGAGAAGATATGAGTTGGAGTAGATCAAGAGGCAGACAGATATTCAGCACAGAGAAGTTATGAGTGGGAGTAGATGAGAGATAATATGCAGGCAGACCTACAAACACGTAGAGAAAGAGAAAGACACTCACAGAGATTAATGGATGCAGGTGATATCTACAGGAATGAACCTCAAGGACATGGAATGCTGAATAAGAAGATGTAAATCAATTATAATTTTTTACAGTAGCTGTTTCTCTTTAATATCTTGCAGTAAAACACTCCAGGAGCTCTTCAGTTGTGAAGATAGATCATAGAAAACTAGCTAAAGTAAAAGATGATTACAGTTTAAAAGATGATTAAAAGTAAAAGGATCAGCTTAGCTGCACCTGGTTTTGTCTGATTTGGCTCATTCTTTTTTTTGCACAGCAGTTTTCCTGCCGTTAACACTGCAAAGTGCACAAAACACCTTACCACAAGGATAACCATCAGGGAACTGTAATAACTACGAAACCTTCACTCCAAAAACTAAAGAAACAACCTTGGTGGTTTAACCCCTTCCCCTGGGACACCCCTGATGTCTGCAATCATATTTACCATAAAACAGCTCCCAGTTATCACTTACCAGTCTCTTGATAATCCTCAGTAAAACTTTCTGTTTCTTTGGCTCTGATACTCTAAGAGCTTTACAGTAACATTCCTAAAACAGAAAATATATAGAAATATGAGTATTTAAAAATTCTGATTAACAGCATGTAATACTAAAGTGAAGGACCTATATCCCACACATTAAAATATATTAGGCATATTATACTAACCAAAAATGTAAATAAAAAAATTACCTATCATTTGATGTGTTATTTGGTCAACATCCTTGCAATGATTCTGTTCTTATTCACTCTGGCTCTAGTCACTTGCAGACTCCTCTTTCCCGCACCGACATCCACACCACGAGTAAAAATGGATGACAGTGAACGACACAATGCGGTTTCACACTTTATTTTCCACTCGCAGTTTCTTCAGCCAGTATATGATGAGGGAAGAAGTCTAGGTACTCACTATATATCCTAAGATGTATTTCTACGCAACTACATTAGCTTTTGGCAGAAAACAACCACCATTACCACAGGAAAAAACAAACACAATTTTCTCCATACGAGCTAACACAAAACATCAGCTGGCTGCCAGGATTTCCGCTAGTTCTTTACTGTCTGGTCAAGTAAGCATTGAAACTTTGCAGAAATATCAGACTCACACTGGATACGACAAACACTCCTCCGTTCTTAATGCATTCAGTTTCTTGGCCAAAACAAGACAATCAACATGCTCTTTCTAAGGCATTATATAATCTTCTAACGCCCACATTATAATTACGACTTTTTCGTGTTCTCCGATTCACACAGATTTCATTTGGCCAACATTTTTTCCACGATTCATGGCTTTGCCCTCGTTACATTTAAATATCTCATTCATTTTTATTAGCTGACGTAATTCCGTCTGGAACACAACTTACCAAGGAGAAAATGGGTCACTACAATCCTATTGACCTCCTTAATTTCTAAAATAATTTCTGGTAACCACTTTTAGGTTGGGCTGGTACCCAAGTCAGTTTTTTTTAAAAATCAGGTCTCAATAAAAATTTGAATTTATGGCCACTGGACAGTCAGATCAAGCTTCTATACCCTGAACTACCACTATTTCAGTATCAGAGGGCAATTAACCTTTACACCCCAGAACCTAGAAAGAGGGAAACAAAACAAGCAGTTTTATAAGAATACGACCAACTAGGCACCCCCTAAAAAAAGGTGTCTTCAATAGCCACGTCCATTGTAAAACTTGAAATCCACAACCATGAAATATGGACAGAATTAATCTCAAACCATTGAAATGGCACCAAAGGTTATAGAAATTTATATTAACCAAGCACAGGTCAAAAAACAAACACAACAACAATTACAAACATATCAGACCATAACGTGGTGTCTAGAATGCAATAAACATTTAAGAAAGAGATTGGTAACCTTTTGGTGTTACCATTCCTCTGGTGTTAATTAAGCAGACTGAGAGAGAAAGAAATTATGCATGGTCAACACATGGTCACTACAAAACTTCAGGCCTTGTGGTGCCACGGGAAAGGGGGTGAATTTGGAAAGGGAATAGGAAGAAAGAAAAAAAGGGAAATGATTGCTGACAGGTTAAGAGCTGAAGAAACATATCAAATATGAGAAGAAACATATCAAATATGAGAAGAAACATGTCGAAAATGAGAAGAAACATATCAAATATGAGAAGAAACAAATCAAATATGAGAAGAAACATAAAAAATGAAAAGAAACATATCAAATATGAGAAGAAATATATCAAATATGAGAAGAAACATATCAAATATGACAAGAAACATATCAAATATGACAAGAAACATATCAAATATGACAATAAACATATCAAATATGAGAAGAAACATGTCAAAGATGAGAAGAAACATATCAAATATGAGAAGAAACATATCAAATACAAGTGATGGCAATAATGGTCCTAAAATCCCATGCAATTATTGTGGAAGATTATTAACCTGAGCAGGTCTTGCCAGTCACACTTGTCACTTCCATGGGCTGTGAGTCCCATGGTTCTCTGTAGCACAATAGAACATTATCATCTGGACAGATGGAAAGGTGCCAACTAACCAAACACTCCTTTTTTTTTCTTTCTGTTGTGGTTACTAGCCACTGTGAGTAAATGCTGTGAAATCTACTAGGAGTGAAAGATGTAAAAAGCAGATTTAAACTTACTATATTCTCAGATGACATAGCATCTCTGCTCTCTCCACCAAACAGCTGCACTAACAGGGACAAACACTTGAGAGCCAGGTCTTGTATTTCTGTGTCCTCATAGCAAAGCTAGTTAAGAAAACAATCAACTATATTTTTATATATACATATACACTTACAATGTGTGTGAGAGAGAGAGAGAGAGAGAGAGAGAGAGAGAGAGAGAGAGAGAGAGAGAGAGAGAGAGAGAGAGAGAGAGAGAGAGAGAGAGAGAGAGAGAGAGAGAGAGAGAGACAGACAGACAGACAGACAGACAGACAGACAGACAGACAGACAGACAGACAGACAGACAGACAGACAGACAGACAGACAGACAGACAGACAGACAGACAGACAGACAGACAGACAGACAGACAGACAGACAGACAGACAGACACAGACAGACAGACAGTGGGGGTTTGGGGAGGCAGAGACAGAGATGATTTATAGAGGAATGGAGTAGAGTGAATTAATATAATATAAAATGGTCTATGAATCAACCAAATCACATCCTGGAAACTAAGTGGATAAATTCAATTAGTAAAGTAATTAAAAGTAAAGGTCCTTTTTTTCCCGCCTTTAGGGCATATAGGGCTAAACCTATATTTTATAGACCAATTGGCACAAGAAGGGTGATGTGGTCAGGATCACGCTGGCCACCTTTGCTTCCTGGGACTGCACCTGGTACCCACTCAAGGCTGAGACGACCTGGGAGCCAAGGTCATTTTTGAAAAAAGTCCAGCTCCACCAGGAAACGAACCCACAACCTTTAAATCCGCGACAAGGGTCTAGCCGCTCTGCCACAGCGAATGAATTAAATTAGGGTTTGAATGAAAATAAGACTATCAACTAAGTTTCCTCAAATGGAACCATGAGAGAGATTACAATCAGAGACATGTACAACACTGTGCAACAAAAACAAAATTGATACAATTATGTTTTAACTTACAAACTTTAAATAAAGATGCAACAATGTATACTTATAGACCTTGAAAACAGAATAAATAATTTTAAGTTTCAAAACTTAATAGAAAGTAAATGGATAGAACACTTATCAAAGAAAAATACAAGGAATTTTGGAAAGAGAAAACTAACAGTAAACATCCACAAGACCGCATCGGCAGACTCAGTAAGCAACATATAACAATTTTCCGTCTATGAACAGGACACTGAAGGCTCTACTACCACATGCATAAAATAAATATTATACAGTCTCCACAGTGTGCCTATCAAACAGGACTACAAACACCTGAGCACATTCTGGAGACCTGCTCACTCTACCAACAATTTTGAAAAGACACCTGGCCTCAAGAGCAAAGTGTGCAGAGCAAGCTATGGGGAACCATGCAGGACCTGCTACTTACATGCGAGTTTATAGAGGCAACCCACCTGATGGTCTGAACTGAGCATACGAAATCGAACGCAAAGAAGAAGAAGGATAGGAATGTATTTTTCAAAAATTGCAAGAAGCATCTACAAACTTACCAACTGAGTCAGCAGTGAAGTTAAGTCAGTCAACGACTTGTTCATCATCAAGAGTTGTTCCCCTAACTCAGCCTCTTTCTGAGCGCCACTGCCTCCTTTGTTTTTGACCTGGCAATAACACAGCAGATTTTTAAGCCACCTTTATGCCAATTTAAAGCATACGCAAGTAGGAATGAAAAGAGACATGCTGAAGAAAATAACAGACAAGTAAAATGTAGTGAAATCTGGCTAACACAAACTTATTTAAGAAATACACTTGGTTAACATTAACAAAATTTCGTCCCAGCAGGAGTACCCAGTTACCAGGAACTTGTTTTAACACACACTCTTGCATTTTTTGCCATAGTAAAAAACAAAACACTTACAATGGATGGAAAAGTTAAAGGCAAATTAGCAAGAGGCAGACAGCAATACAGGTGGGAGGATAACATCAAGAGAGGGGCAAACAGTGGTCTCAGAGATTGTACATCCAGGGGGAAAAATACAGCACAGTGGTGATTCACTGCAGCCAACTTTCACTGTGGAGTCAGCACTTGACTGATTAACTGACTGAACTAGAAAAAGTCAGAGGCCGCTAATAAAAATATTTCAAATTCTAAACTTTTCAGATTTCATTAAAGTTTTATGAGGGAAACAAATAATAAGTCCAGTGACCACCTCCCCCCCCCCCCCCCCCCCCCCCCCCCCCCCAAGAAGCTAGTCGTAAAAGGCAACCAATTATGGGTTTGCTGAAATTGGATGTGTTGGGCTGAAAGGCGCAGATATCAAAGTCTAGCTGTAAACTACAATACAATATGCAAACTCAACATTTTAATGGTGAACGCAGAATAAGAAGATGCATGTTCTTGTCCTCGTTATGTATTTCAGCAGTCATACAGATATCTGCACCCCCATTTTTAACTAGACTGGTTGCTGATGCATCTGCGTAAGCATATATCCATGACTGCTTGAGATAGCTTTCCTGGATCAAGAGCAGCTGTTTGTTTTTTAAAGTCAGTGGACCATGGGTCAGTGGATCATAGTTTGAGTGTCTCTTCTATAGGACAATGCATTGCAGTTCATTTTTTGCATCTCCAGGATTAGTGCAGTTTCATGGATCCTGTGATGAGTCTAAGGGCTTGATTTTGCACTCTGTCTAACGATTGTAGATGGGAATTAGCAGCTGATGACCAGGCTGGTGCACCAAACTCCAAATGGGGTCTTATCGCTCCATTATAAACTTTTTTTTTACATTCGCTCCCCAACTTGTACCTGCCAGTTTTCTAAGCAGACCTAGTCACCTAATGGCCTTTCCTTCTACATTTTCTATATGTTTGCTCCATGTGAGCCTTTTATCAAATGCCATTCCAAGATAAGTAGGGAAGCTTTTTTCTTTTAGCAAGGATGTTGCCTGGAAATGACATTTTGAAGTTCACCTATGGAAAGATTTATGAACAGAGAGACAGAGGAAGACAGTAAGAGAAGATTCTTGACATTCTGTCATGGCAAAGAAGGGTGTCATTTGATGAACTGGTATGCTCCGATTATAAAGCATGGCTGCCATGCCAGATGGTAAGGCACCTGATAGTGATCACAACAAAAGATCTTAAATTTAAGAAGAAAAAAATAAGAAAAAAGAGGGAAAAAAAAACATGAAAAGGCACACACAAAAAGGAGTACCTGCAAAGCTCTACGAACCACCTCGGAGACATATCTGAGGATTGCATTCAGTGTGTCTAGAAGTGTCAACAGCATCATCACAGATGTTTTAACATCTTTTCCACCCCCTTCACCTTCACAGACTGAATTCCACACTTCAAAGAATATATTGGTTATCTGGTCTATTAAACCTGGTCAAGACAATAAGAGTAAATTCTATCAAACATGCTTGATACAGTAACAAACATGTGTTTCAACTGTATTAAACCTGATTGAGACAATAAGAGTTAACTATTAAACCTGGTTGAGACGATAAAAGACAAGCATTTTAGCTTTATCAAACGTGGTTGATACAGTAATATACAAGTGTTTTAACTGTATTAGACCTGGTTAAGACAATAACAGACA